CCCACAGTCACCTGTTATCTGACCCTCCTGTGGGAGGTTTTGGACTGATGTGTTGCACAGTCCTCCCCAACAACACAATTTTTCTTCATCTGTTTAATGTGGAAACTTGATATTTTTTAGAATTAGCAAACACAGTTGTTCTGTTTATTTGTTATTGTAAAATGAAGGTGTTTGTTTTATATGTTTCTATGATAGATTCACATTTCATTTAGTTCATATATTTGTTGGAAAGGGTTAAAAATGGATTGGATAAAACAAAAGTGTAGCTAGCATTGATTAAAAACGTGTCTAAAATATGTGATTACAAAAGAAGGGTTTGTTAAAAGTGTTATCAAGTGTAAAGTGCTGTAAAGTTTGTTTGAGGTAGAGTTTGTGATGGTCACGTGACCAGAGTTTAGCTGAGAGCACATCCATGGCATTGTGGGTCAGAACTAGCATGGATACAGAGCTACAGCCACAACAGTAATGTTATTGTGCATGTGGTCTAAGAAGCGCACATGGTAATGGTTTTCATGTACAGTATATTGTATATATCATGTTGTATAAATGTTTTATATTGGCGATAAGAGGATATTTTCAGTAATATCCGTTATGTTGCATTTTTCCTGTTCCGCTAGCTCGAGACTGTTTATTGACACTAACATGAGAGACTTTAATAGGTTCAGAGATATTTACGTTGTAAACTGTGTTTTCTGTAGTTTTCACGGTGTCTGAAGAAAATGAGAAAGAGAGAGAGAGAAATAATCTTCCGAAGACGTCAATATCAATCAATCAATCTTTATTTATAAAGCACTTTTCATACAAAAAAAATGTAGCACAAAGTGCTTTACATAGTTAAAAGCAGCCCACTCCACCCCACCCTCCAACTCACTCCCCACACTCTCATTAACATAAACAATGTGAATACACAGATCCCCCCCCCACACACACACACACACACACGCGCGCGCACACTTAAAGAGTAAAATTGGGCTGGGTACGCATGTGCCAAGTGAGGAAACACTATAACAGGGAGCCGTCTGCACCGGGAGCC